CCACTCGGCGATATTTCATTTGAGTCGCATAAACTCATAAATCTCCGCTTGGCCAGCCAGACGAAAGTTATTTGGCCTGGACTCTACCTGGGCGGATGCGCGACCGCAGTAAGAAATCGTTAGACTGACAAACAGACATCAACATAGCCCCAACTGGCGCCAAAATCAATATTTTCATCCGAATGAAAAATGACCTGCAGTGTGTCCAAGCAGTTGTCCAAAATGGACAGCTACAAAACCACTTGGTTAGCCGTAAGCCGAATGAATGAATCGACTCCAGTTCACAGGAATCGACGCCAGCTTTAGTGATTAGCGTACATAACTAAGCCAACGACTGCTATAGGGTATATCAAGGCAAGCTTGTGAATTTGCAAGCATTGCATAATTGATTAAACATTGAAAACGAATGACTTAATCAAGTGCGTGCCACGTGGCGTATACGCAATGCGAGCAAACATTTACGAGTCCACACAGACAAGCGCAACGACGAGGCCAATGAAGCACACAGCGATCCGGATGAACTAGATGATGATGACAATGATGATAAACAACAATAACAATAGCAGCAGCGGCAAATAAAGCTAAAAGAAAAACAAAGACACCAATCAGCAGCAAAAATAGAACTGGTAACAAACAAGCAAAAACGAAAAACAGTAGAATCTTTATAGATGTTGCAGATATGCCATGACCTAATCTAGGAAAGTCGTCTTACTTTGCCACACAGCTGGTAGCAATTCTCAACAAGCTGAAGCTTCGAAAAAGAAACTCTTTTTTCTTTTATTTTTACATGTTGGCCTATTACTGCAGCACTTCCGGATATATTCAGGGTGGGACGAGCTTTATACTCCTAGTCGGAAAAAATAAAAAGAGATGTTCAATCATTGCAAAACAGGTCTTTATGCAGTGCTTAGATCTGCATATGGCTATCCTATGTTAATCTAATATAATCCTAGGGACTCTCATCGATTTGAATAAGATAACTTTAGAGAATGGGTGCGGCTCCAGATGAAGAAAAAAACGTTGAGAGAATTTGTTTTCTTATTATCCTGTACGATTAATTTTATACTTCTTGATATTTCACTCGCGTCTGAATTTCCTAACAAGTGTATCAGAGCTTCGAATTATCGGATATGTGATTTTTCCATTGTTGTTGTTTCTGCTGCCTACATCATCTTCAGCTTCTTCTTCGTATTGTTGTTGTTACAGCTGCTGTTGTTGTTGTGGAAGGCACTCTGCTACGTGACACTGACATGGATTTTCAAGTTGTTTGTCGTATGTGTCATTGCCTGCGGATGTCCTCTCAATGTAGCGACTGCCTTGTGCGCCGCTGCTTAGGCTCATCCGCAGCCAGGCCCAAACCCCCATTGGTTCGTGCCGTGCCCCAAAACCTTCTTGCACTTTGTCAATTCGTAAATCTTTTTGTGCGTCACACTTTTGGCCAAGTGCCGCCAACGCCATCATCAAAGGCAACAACTTTAGAAAACTAACGCAACGAATGTTGAGACACCAGCTGTAGGCAGGGTCCTCTAACCTCTAACCATCCAGCCTTTCGACAATTGTGCGAGTTAACTTTGATGAATTCAATTATTTGAGTACGACAAGTTCGCCATCTCTGTTCGCCAGCCTATCGCCCTCTCGCTCGGCGTGTGCGAGCGCGGGCACGTGTTTGTCTTTGCTGCCGTTCAATGAGTTTATTGTCGTTGTGCTTAGCTGGAATTGAAATTCCCCCATGGGCTGTTGGTCCTGCCGCTGCGCGTCCTTGTGCCTCAATCTGTAAAGTGGATTTATTTTGCCAAAATCGAAAGTTGGCTTCTTCTTCGTGCTACACAACCGGCCGCCCCCGCTCACTACGCCTAAACATTTTGTTGTAGTAAAGTTGTTGTGTGCGTGTGTGTATGAAGCATTAAAGGATTTATCAATTTACGCAATGGAAACTTAGGTAGGTATCAATTTTGTTGATGCTTGTTTGATTTGTGCCCTATCGTAGTTGTTCTCAGCAAGCGTATCCTAAGCCAACTATATTTTATCAATATCATTTTCCAATGAAAGAACATGGGAGTAGATGCTTCCTTCTGCGAAACACCATTATACCCATTTTCAATGAGCTTAGGGTATATGCATATAACTTTTATTGGCTATAAGGTTTCATTTCTTCAGGTTTTGTTTTTTTTTTTCCTTTGTGGCGGCTGCAATTAAAATTTGTTTGATTTGATTATTTGCCTGCCAGCACTTTGATATATTTGTTAAATAATGTGCACTTTCATTTATTGTGCTGTGTGTCATTTTCTACAAAATAAATTGTTTTCTGTTTTCAACATTAATTTAATTGTTGTTATTGTTGGTGTTATTGCATCCACACTGACCGATCGTTGCTGCCAGCTTTTATGATTATTGCAATTGTGATTGTTGTGCTCCTGTTGTTGATGCTGTTGGTTTCATTTGTAATTTCTCGTTTGAGGCAATATATGAAATCGTTTAATTACATTTGAAGCGGTTTATGCATTTCTGTGGTCATTTGCATTGCATTCCGATGATGATTTCGATGCCGATGCCGAAATGCAGCTGATGTCACGAGCATTTCTATACCCTGAACCCACAAAGGATATATTCGTTTTGTGCAAATTCTTGATCAGCATCAAAGAATAACGCTCGTATAAACCGTTTTTTCACAAAGTTAATGTCTGTCCTATTTATCTACAGCTCACAAATATGTAAACAGCCGCTTGACGTTCAGGGTATCTTCTAGTCGGGCAGACCAGACTATTTTTTGGGTGTTTTCAATAGCTGCAGCAATTTCTTTAAAGTGCCCGCCATAGAAGCGTAAACCGAACCGCAACTAAAGCCGCATAAATCAGTTTGCCATAATCGTTATCGTTGGCCAACTCGCATTTCCCGTTTAACAATTTTTATGCATTTTACTGTTCATAATAAAGCACTAAATGTACTAGAATTTCGGCCAAAATGGTTTATTGCTTTCTGCCTGTCGGTATTTGTTGCCGTGACGAACTACCCAACTCTTTACTGATGACAACCACCGAATCACACCTAATTTTTCTTCTATTTCAGCTGTTCGTTTCCCTTTAGTATTTAAAGTGGGATTCGATATAAAGTTACCATGAAGGACATAAATATTAATAGACTAACACGAAACGATTATACAACTAAGCGTACTCTAGTCGAAATTGTCCGACTGGCAAATGTACACCTTGTATTTTTCTCCGAAACGCCTTTAAAAATATTTTCTTTCAATAACAGCTAAAATTATATTCGAAGATATTTTTCGATTTTCCAAGCCCCCATTCTTCATTCTAAATTTGATTATTTAGATTCAGATTTTCCTAGTTGTGGATAGGGTAAAGGAAAAACTGAGATAATCGAATTCAAGATCAATGAGTACGTTGTCACGTTCTAGATCAAAAGCCTTAAATTTGTACAGACAGATATGCAAATAAGAAAAACTGAACTTAAAGTTGTGAATGAAGGCATAACAATAACTCCCTGAAGCTCTTAGTTGGCCAATTAAATTCAAATTTATAATTTATAAGCTGCTAATTTAACGGCTGGGCGCACTGAGCGGCAATAATAACAACAACAACAACAGCAATTGATATGCTGAATTAATGACAAGTAACAGGATAATGATTTCAGCACGAACTCCTGCAAACAACAGTCAGGCAGAAGGACATTTCTTGAAGCAGCTCTGGTCGGACGCAGGCCCGATCCTTGTCAGTGCCTCGGCCAGGACCCAGGCACATTTATAGATTATTTGCTTAGAACATTTGTTTGCTGGGCGCTGATGTCCTGAGCACGAAATGTAAATATGCATGTGCCCTGCTGCCATGCCCCCTTGTGTCAAAAATGTGTACAGCAAATGTGTCCGTCGGTTTGACTTTATAAATAAGTGAAATTATTGGGAAACCCTATTTGATTAGGTACAATTTATAATTGTAGCTCATACTTGCAGTAGATCACGTGCGTCTGGCTCTCGGGCTGTTGCCAGGACATGATTTTCATATCACATTTGAATTTTGATTTTGATTTGTGTTTGCCATGCGTAATTGCGCATCGGAAGTGCCGGCTGCCCCATTAATGATGCTGGCTATGCATTTGAATTTTCACATTTCGCAGCACTTTGGATGGTTATTGTTTGATTTTCGCCAGCAAGAACATGTAAAGCGCCATCTGTCGCACAGTAGCAGCAACGCAGATTTAAACTTAAGTTTGCACTTTAAAGCTTATCGCAGCTTTTAACTGTACAAGCTTTTGTGCTACCCCCACAGAGACAATGTCCTTGCCGGGTGGCTGGTAAAAGCTCTGACACCCACATGCGCGTATACGTCTAGCTATTTCCATTGTCATTGAGAAATATTCTTGGCAGTACGCATGCACCGAAACTTTTCACTTTATGGGGACCTTTAGTGCCGAAACATGTGGCTGCGCATCAGATGTTTTCAATGAATGAGAGAAAGAGAGAGAGAGAGAGAGAAGGAATAAGCTTTTGCGGTAGTATGCGTATAACTCACACAGTAAGCCGTTACTGAAATCTGTTATATGTTAAATTTATCTGTTACTATAGTGAAAACATATTCTGAGATATCATTCTCTATTCAAACTATTACTGGAATTATTGATATGGCAGATTTCAGTTTGTATTAATCATAAATTTTAGGTTAATTTTTAGAACTAAGGTTAAATATCAGAAATAAATATTTGAATGATGTTAGTCTTAAGAGAAACATAAAATTATGATGAAAAAAAAAAAAGGCATTAGGGATTTCGATCTGTCATCTTATGCTAAGTCTCAAATCAACACAGTTAACGATTTGGCGAACATGGCTCGCCTAATTTATGTTAAAGTCTACACTCTCTTCAAAAGCTCCGCTCTGGTCTACACGGCCAAGCACCGCCCACCCGCTGGCCACCAACGCAAAATCGATGCCAGACCCGTTTCGCTCTTTTCGCTGGCAACTGAAAATTGTCTGAGGGCTTTTTCCACGCTGCTCCTTGACTGTGTGGCCCAAAACGCGAATGAACATCGACCGTGGAAGTTGACTGCAAGTGAAAAGCGCTGCACTGAAGGTGAATGAATAGAAAAAAATTCAACAAAAGTAAAATGTTTGCAGATCCAAGCGACAAATAGTAATAGCAACAAAATTCAAAGGTTTTCTCTTTTGTAAAAGTGTTGAAAAAATAATTCAAATAATTAAAATATTTAAATTTAATGCCAATTGAGCTATTACATAAAGCAAAATCCAAACGAAGGCCCGAAAAGTGTTGTGCGTGTGCTCATGTATGTGTGTATGTGTCTCTCTCACTCTCTTTTTCTCTATGTGTGTGGGTGTGTGTGTGCTTCTGTGTATGTGTGTGTGTGTGCGTGTGATGGCACGCGCTGTGCTAAAAAGCAGAACATTTTTTGTGTATCAGAATTTTTGGAGTTGCCTAAGCAAATTTATTTGCACTTGCTGAAAATTGTTTGCAATAATTATTCGAGTATCGAAAAAATGCAGCCAGAATATTGTGAACGGTGGCCCATATCATGGAAATTGAATTGAAAGTGAAAACGCGTGTGATGTGCCTAGCTTAAATATTGATTTTTCCACATGATTTTACGCATCGTGACCCACTAAGAAAATTGAGCTGCTGATTTTAGAATTTACCAAATTACAAGAAATCGCAAATTAAGACAAAAGTTGAAAATTGTTTTTAATAACTTGACAAAATAAATACCAAAATTGTACAAGCTAAACAGTGTGCGTGTGTATGTTAGTGAGAAGAGAAAAGCTCTAGAAAAAAACGGCTCTAAGAAAATCTCTATCCTGAGTTTGCTTTCAACAACGTCTTCGTGCAGCAGCAGAAGCAGCAAAAGCGAATTTGTCCTTCCCCTCAACCATACAACACACACACACACACACAGAAGCACATTTTCACACGCACACACAACACACACATATAGACATATAACGGGCAGTGAGATTCGCTCTATCAATATTTACGCATACCATTGTATTTTTAATATTACGTATACGCTCTGTTTTCTGTTCGCCCTCTCATTCTTTTTCTCTCTCTCTCTCCCTCTCTCTGTCTCTCTCTCTCTCGCTCTCTCTGCTGCTTGCCTTGCGCTTCCACGTCTGGTATAATATACACAAAAATATATTTAACCACGCGTTGAACAACAAAACATTTCGATTAAATTCGCAATCGTACTGCAAATCATCAATTGTAAATCGCTAATCGATAACAACAGTGTTCAAATTACATGTGAGACTAGCGCTGAGCAGAGGCCTCACTAGCCAAGCAGCACAACACACATTCAGCCCCCTCACATCATTCACATGATTCGTCTGCCTGCAGCCCGAGCCTGAGACCGTCTTGAGCCTTCCGCCCTCCTGCCGGATCAAAGTTCCAACGTTAACGCTTCGTTTACCGTTGCTCAAAGCCCAACAAGGAACAACTAACAAAACAAATACAAAAAACACAGAAAACAACGTTAACTTCTAATAACAATTAACTATTTTGGTCTGCGCCTTTTATATACATTGGCAACATTGTCTAACTAAAAGGTAAGTGAAAATAAAACTCGCGATAATCTATAGCATACTTATTGGGACATTCATTTAGGAACAGACTAAGGTATATACTCATATAAGAGCTAGGTATAAATAATAGGAATACACAATTAAAACCATAAATGATACATTTTCGTGTTGTCCTAAGTATCGGTCTTAAGTTAATACCCATTTAATGATTATTAGTAAGTCAAATATTCTATTAAGGTAACCTATGTAAAAAGTTGTCTGGGATAAGAAAAGTTCTAAATATTTTTATTTTCAAAAGAATTATTTACAATTATATTCATCCCATATTAAATACATTATGTCTATCATACAAATTGAGTTGCTTTTAATCTATGCGTCTAGCTTCGCTCGAGATAATCTACCTGCCTCGGGGACTGTGTCCTTAAACTGTGAATAAGGGCCAGCTGAACCTAATTAAGCAGCTCTTTGTTCGCAGATTGTTTGTTAATTAGCTGAGCCGTGAGCCAAAAAATAAAAGAGAAAATTAAGAAAATCGAGGCAAGAAGCAGAAAAGGTTGAACGCTCTTAGCGTTTATTTTATTAGCACGAATTATGTGTGAGGCTCTTTTGGTAGAACATATAAAAACCACACATAATTGCCAATAATCAAGTCGACGCTGCGTCCGAAGCAAACAGAGAGTGACAGTTATGTATATATATATACACGCACACACTCGCCTGCCTTATAGAGTTTGTGCGTACTTTTGACCCCTTACGCCCATGCCAAATATATTTTTCAAACGAACCCTGATACAATAAACGTGGGAAATGTGTGTCTGCGATTGCAGCGTTTACAGATTGCAGCTAAATAACAGAGTATTGATAGCAATGAAAGCGAAAAGCATAATGATGTGGAAAATTAGTTTTCTTTATCATCATCGCCTCTGGGAGACTGTCGTCTCAGCAATCTTAACTTGGTTAGCCGTTCGTCTGGGTTTCTTTTTCGCGCTACTCTACCCACGGCTTTTAACTTATTTTGCTGCCTTCTCTGGGTTATGTGCGCAGGAAACGCAGTGAGAGAAAGAGAGGGAGAGCGAGAGACCTGGAGAGTGCCAAGGCAAAACACATGTCTCTCTCTTTCTCTCTCTGGCGCGCTCTCTCGCCAAAAGTTTAACCGTTTCCTGCTCAACGGCTATCAGGGAATGAAGAAGCTTAACAATTAATGGCTGAGCTTCACTGAGGGTCGCCTTCCTGTTTTCCTCGCCCACTTGAATAGAAAAAAACACTTAATTCTATTTCTATTACAACATGCCAGCGTCATGTTTGCTGCTGCGTTCGCAGGTGGAATATTCGGCTGTGCCGTGCGTCTGGGCCAGAGCTTAATTTGTTTTGACAGCCTGATTGTCAGTTCTTGACGTTGACCTGCAATTTGAGTGCCTGTCACTGCTTTGTTCACGTATCTCGTTGCTGCATGTTTTATGAAGTCAATTTATCTTATCGTTAAATGAATTTGCCCCTTATCTAAATGACAACCAGTTGCTGCTATTTTTAGCAGTTTTTGCGCTTCTATTTCTCAGGTGCAATGCAGCTGGGCCAACGAGTACCCCATGAAAGGGGGCACAATGTGTACGAAAAAGGAGTCGGAGGCCTCAGATATGCTTAAATAAAATCCAGAATATTATAATTATAATTAAACAGTTTCAGCTCCAACGAACTTTATCTGTCTAACTTTAAGCAAAATAAACTTATAAGCTTTGACTACAATGAGCAAGCAATTAATGTCTTTTTAATTCCCAATTAGTTTTACCAGGCTCAGTCTACTGGAGTCTGCAATGTTTTTATGCGCTAAGAACGTAAAAAATTCAATTAAAGAAATAGTTGGTCACATAATAAAAACCAATTTATATAAACAAAAGCAACACCTAGAGAATTGTTTATGGCACTCGTTTCGCAGTTAAACTGCGTAGTTTTTCGTTTTTTACTAGATTGTGCCAGACAAATGGGCACCAGGCACATCATAAAAAAACACACACAAGCAAATGTACACCTAGCTGACCCGTGAGTCGAATGTCAGAAAGAGAACGAGAAAGTCAGAAAGAGAAGGGGAGCGGGCACGCAGCCAAAAGCACAAAAGCAGCGCTGGCAAAATGTCAAATATTGTTGTGGTTGCGCGCAAATGTATGCGACAGTAAAATGCATGCGTGTGCGTATGTGAGTGCGTGTATCTGTGTGTGCTGCTACTAAAAAGAAGTATCTCGTAGATGCACTGCCCACTTGAAGCGTACACAACGACTATAAATCGTGGTACTGTCTCTTTTGTTGCTGTTTTATGACAGTATTCTCACATTTTCTCCACATTTTACTTACAATATTTTCCCGGTGGCCGTTTGGCCTGTTTTATGGAAATCGTTATTCAGCTTGTGATTTGCAGTATTAATAAAATATCACGTACCGAATGTGCAAACTCTAAGATGGCTTTCTATTTCCAGGAAGCTTTTTGTAAGGGTCAAAATCGTCTTGCCTAGGAGTTTTTTGTGGCATTAATATTTCATGTGTGCTCAAATGAAAACGAGAAGTGCTTAGAGTGCAAAAAGAGGCAAAGCAGGAGAGAGTTTTACAAAACAGAATTAAATATTATGTTACCTTCGACCTTGCTTATAATATATATCTGAAGATAGAAATCCAAATATCAATGCAGTCAGGCGTGTGTGTTGAAATACGTACTTTTCCATTGATGCGTTTGCTACTTTAGCCATGCTTGATGCTTGATAGATATCATGATCCTTTTATTTAGCTTCATTCAAAAAAGTCTCAAAGCTCTCTGCCTAAATTCATCTTTCAAGCCCAATCTCCAACGCACTTAGCCCAACTGCCGACAACTTGACACCGCTGCTTGCTTGGGAGTCACGCCTTGGCTTGGAAGCACTTGACTGCTGGGCCGAGGCTCAAATTGTCTAAGGACTAAGCATTTAAGTTTATTGATTTTGCGAAAGCTGTCGCCAATATTTGCTCAAGTAACTGCTGCAGGGTCCCAACGGCGCCACACTTGCCGCAGCAGCTTAAGGGCGTGGCCAGTACATGACTCGAATGCTTTCGGAAGCCTGTCAAATGGCTTTAAAATACTGCGTCTTATATGGTAAATACAAGTGTTGCGCCCAGTAGCCGCCCACCAATTAAGTTTCATACAAAATAAGCAGGCATTTGTATTAAAATTGCCCGCTCATTTAAATTTCACGCATATTTATGAACAAAGTCGCTCGAGGCTGTGTGAGTGTGTGGGTGTGCTTATTGCCTTTATGTGTGTGTGTGTGTAAGTGTGAAGGCATAGGTTGAGTGTTCCATTGCCTTTGACGTCATTTGGCTTGCAAGCAACCGCGACAGCAGCTTAGCACAGCTCGTTAAGAAGCAACTGGCGGCCACTGTGAGCCTAAATTACGTATACGACATGCTGGAAATGTCAATTTTCAACTTAGCGAATTTGAAGCAGCTTATCTTAACAATATATTCAAACTATTTTGAATATTGTCTTTTAAATTTATAACGGCGCCTTCTAAGAAGGAGCTGCTTAAAATATTCCAAAAACTAAAATAAATTCTGCTCCATAGCAAAGATTTACCAATACCCAAGTTAAATACTATACCATAAAAGCCTGCCAGCTCTGATGGCATCAAATACAACATTTAATTGGGCAATTATTTTATGATAAGTTTATCTCAAACAATGTCAGTCCAAGTCCTTGCTTCACTCAGCTTACTGTCAATCAAAGAAATATGAAAGCAACTTAAAAGAAAAAGCCAGCGCAAGGCTCCGGACCAAAAGGTCAAAGGCTATGCGAGCACACATAATATACAAAAGCGTTTAAATTAAACGCGAATAAAATTATTTTAGTAAATAAAAGTTATTTTATTAATAATAAATACGAATAACAATAAAAAGCGAATAAGAGGACCCAAGTAAAGTAAATTAGTAAATTAACTTTGAGAGAAGAAAAGTTTCAAGATATACAACTGTTGTCAAGTGTGTGTGTATGTGTGCGTGGAGAAAGCTGATATAGTGCATGTAAGTGTGCGTGCGCGTCGGGAAAGCTGATAGTCTGTACGAGAGTGTGTGTATGAGTGCGTGTCCTTGGCATGCTATACATAAGTACTTTTACTTGCTGCGCCAACTGTCGGCGCCCTCGGCGCATTTCTAATGTTTCCAGGATATGCCGAGCTAAATTGCCAGCGACATTTCTAGGATTTCTTCGCTGAACTTTGTTGAAGCTATTTTTAAAAGATGATTGGCAAAAGAAAAACAAGAAAACAAAAATATTTTTCCTCATTCTTTTAAATAGAGTTAGGACATTGTTTGGAATAAATTTAAGATCTTCAGAAACTGCTTGCTAATAGTTTTACGCTAGGGAAGCTGGAAAAAAACAGACATGGGTGCTATAACATGAAAAAGTAGCTCGAAGTGGAAAAGTAATAGACAAAATATGCGGAATTTGTATAAGTACTGCATCCTCATGGGAATATGATTCTTAGACCCTCCGATACTTTGATTGCAAAGCAGCCTAATTTAGTTGTTGATGCTTTCAAAAGTTGACCAATGTTTGCATTAGTAAGTATATCTTAACTAATGTATTCTCCTCCCAAATCTTCACGACCGTCAGCAACATATCTTTTCTTATATTAAAACTTCGACGGTTTAGTTTGCATGAAAATACTTGTATAATTGGAATCAAAAGAATTTTGTATTCAATAAGAAAGAGACTTAATATACAAAACCAATTTTGGTTAGTTAGTTTTGGTTAAGTTCTGTTAAGCAATTAATCATTATACCCAGGTTTTGTTAATACTTTGACAATTTTAAGATCCAATCAAGTTTCTTGATTTTTGTTGGTTTTTCTAGTAATAACCACAGTGCAATATGCCGCCAAATGCAAAATCGGAAACGGAGCCAGAGCCGGCGCCTGTGTCGAGTGACGAGCCGGCGGCCGATTTGGAGACGGCCAATCAGAAGATAGAAGAAACGACACATCACTCCAAGTTTCGGGAACTGGAGCAGCAGGAACAGCAGGCAGCCGAGAGTCAAAGAATTGCACAAGTGGAAACAACAATAGCACCAAAAACAACAACAGAGGCTGAGGGTGAGTCCCACATTGTGTACCAAGATCAATCTTGGTTTGGAAAAATATATATATATTATTCTATATAGAAGCTGCTACCACCTCCGTGCCGGTCATCAAAAAGATTGAGCATGCTGGCGAAGTGGTCACCGAGGCGATTGCTGAACGCACTGGTTTGCCCACATGGGGCGTGGTGGCGATTATAATACTCGTATTCCTCGTCGTCTTTGGTATTATATTTTTCTGTGTGCGCAGATTCCTCAAGAAGCGAAGAACCAAAGATGGTAAGGGTAAGAAGGGTGTCGATATGAAATCGGTACAATTATTGGGATCGGCATATAAAGAGAAAGTAAGTATCTGCAATGCCATCAAATCTTAGTAGTTATTGGGTTCTGGTATGCTTTAGGTTCAGCCTGATATGGAGGAACTCACCGAAAATGCCGAAGAAGGCGACGAAGAGGACAAGCAGAGCGAACAGAAGCTGGGGCGACTTAACTTCAAGGTAAGATCCGTGCCTTACATGGCTCACAATCAACTGAACTCAATTTGCAAATGGCCTGCAACACGCTCTCAACTAATCCAACTAACCCAATACCAGATATAGTTAATGTCAATGCACTGTCGTTGTTGTTATTGTTTTTTACATAAATAAAGGTAACACCTGTCAAGTCAAGTAAACTCAAGTCGCGTCGAGTGTGCCAGAAATACGTACTCAATCTATAAACTATTTTGCCTATTTTAACTTAATCACATGCTCACAACATTTCTTGCATTGGTCAAAACACAAGTGATTCATACAACTTCGCTTAGAAACTTCTTTTGATAATCTATGAATATATTAAATTAGTATTAGACAATTTATTATTATTTTAAATACTTTCAATGCACAAGAAAATAAAGATCTTATACACTTATCGTCAATTGACATCAGCTGAAAGTTAAGTTTGAACTTTATAGTGTACTGAAGCGTTAGACTTATCCAAACGCTTAAGTCTAGAGAACAATAATAAGTAGCTTCTCAGTTAACCTTTTGACTAAATGGAAAATAAGTTTCACTTATTTTATCTGGTTTGCACCTTTAATGTGCTTTCAAGTTATGATTAGAAAAATATAGCACTTCAGTTTGTCTTTACACTTAAAATAAAAAAAGCGCATTAAGTTATCTGGCTTGAAGCTTTAAGCTTGAGGATGATCGCAATTCAACAGTTTCGCTATTGAAATCAGTTGAAATAGGTTTCACTTTTTTAATCTGATAATATTTTATCGGAATTTTGACGTCGCCCAGGATAAAGCTAATGCTCAAGTACCAGCAGCTGCAATGTTATTTGACATAAGAAAAGTCTAAGAACGATTTATCTTAAAAAAGTATTTAAAATTGTAGTAAATGTAATAAAAGTATCGTATTTTGAAAACTATGCCACAACTGCACTAAATTCGAATACAGCACACAAAACCCATAACACATTGAATATTCCTGAAATTTTATATAAAGCTTTAACTAATATCGTTTGTTCTGTCTCTTTCTTCTTTATGGGAACGAATACCGCACTTGCGGATATTATTCTATAATGTGTATATTGCAGCTTGAATACGACTTCAATTCGAACAGCTTGGCCGTAACCGTTATACAGGCCGAGGAGTTGCCCGCCTTGGACATGGGCGGTACCTCAGATCCCTATGTGAAGGTATATCTGTTGCCCGATAAGAAGAAGAAGTTCGAGACAAAGGTGCACCGCAAAACGTTGAGTCCGGTCTTCAATGAAACATTCACCTTCAAGGTTCGTTATTCAAATTTTCATTGGAGCTACCTTACCTGGTGCTAGACATTGACTGTGAGTTCGCCTGCAGAGTTTACCCTATGCTGATGCCATGAATAAGACGCTCGTATTCGCCATATTTGACTTTGACCGCTTCTCGAAACACGACCAAATCGGCGAGGTGAAGGTGCCGCTGTGTACCATCGACTTGGCACAAACCATTGAGGAATGGCGTGATCTGATCAGCGTTGAGGGTGAAGGTGGACAGGTACGTAGAGATTGGCCCATGGCAACACTCACAGTCTATAAATATACAAATAATTTTTTTGTTATGGGGGTAAGGGCGGTTTTAACCTGGTATTTCCATTCTGTATGTATACGTACTTCACAAACTAAATGTGCCTCTAAGTGTCAATTATTTAGTTTAAATTGATTTGATTTAACTTTGGATCAAACAAAAACAAAAAACAACAACTGTTGCTTATACTTTTGTGTTCATATTTGGGTTTGTTTACTTTGTCCCACAGAACAAGCCACAAACTACAGAAAACAGAAAACAGAAACCAGAAAACAAAAAAAAAATCAAAAAAAAAGCGTGTGACTTATGTAATCTAGACATGCATAAAAAGTATTCAGTACAATCTGAACTCCTCAAAATTGTGTTTAGTGTGTATGTAATTCGCATTACCATAAAGACTTTCACAACAGACCAACTTGATATTTGTATTTTAAACAAGTTCAATTTGAATTATGTGTCGGCTCTAGTAAAGTATTTACCCCAGCTCCAATCTCTGTCCATAAGTACAACAGAAACAATTTACAAAGACAACAACAAATAACAAAGAACAACAAAGACAGACAGCAATGCGCAAAACTTTTATTCAACTTTTATACACCCAGTTCAAAATGCAAATATAAATAAAAATCAATTTTAAATATATATACTATATATATTACAGTTGTAATGCTCCATTGAATCCCATAACAAAACCAACAACAATAACAAAGACAACATGGAAAACAAGCTCCGTAAATTTTTGATCAACTTTGCTGACAAAGTTGATGAAAGATTGTGAATACTGAATTTGATTTCTTTGCACATTTTTCAATCTATGAATTTTACGCTTTATGATTTCTTTTTGGTTTGTGTGAAAACTTTAACCAAACACACAAAGTACAAATAACTACAACTGAAATATAAACTCTTCAATTTCTCTTTCTCCAATTCCCCCTCAACAAATTTGTTTCAATACATACATAAATATATTACAAAATAAAACTCTTGTTTTCTTGAACTTTTGTAGAAGGTAAATACAATGAAAAAATACTAAACTTTTAAAAAGAAAATACAAAAAAACAAATACCAAAAACCAATAAAAAAATAAACACCTATGCATACCCAATTCGTTTAGTTTTTCTTTATCCAATATAAATTGCTCTGTCTCTTTGGTCTGTCGCTCTTGTAAACACTCCAACATTTCAATATATCAATATATTTACATCCTATAATAAGAACAATAATTTCTATGCATCGAACTACACACACACCCACACGCAACAAACACACCACCTGCTAACCCAACCTTTTGTACTATATCCAAGATAATCTATCTTATTTAATATCCCATACGAATCTTTGAGAGTTGCGCATCGTTCTACAAATTTCTCTTATGTCTGCATCTTTTCTCGCATCATTAATATTGTAGTTGAATTTTTGTATTATTCTATTAAATTGTTTGTATAAGAACTTGTTTAGCATTCCAAAATGCAAATAATTACACTGCAATATTATTTTGTTGAGAGAATTTGTGGCATAAAAATGCTGTAAACAGCAAACAGCATGGCATAAGAAATATATATAATATATGATTGGCCTACAGATTTTCTATATCTGATATAGACATGCTGCTAATAGAGAGATAAAAAGCTTTAACTTTAGACACAAATTTTCCACTTAACATTGCACACTTCCCCTGTCTGCTAAGTACAACTTTCCCATCTTTTTGCACCGTGATTGGAACTGTTTTAAGCTCCATAAAAAAAAAACTAAGCTAACTTATTGCATATAATTCTTAAAGTAGCGAAAAAATTCTGCACCCAACCAAAACTCACACATAAAATAAGTCATTTTAAATTGGACCAACTAATGAAATACAAACAAAACAAATACACTAACACACGCCCAGTAACTGACAAGTACACAGAAAAACTATCTACAAAACGCATAAACACTTCGCCTGCGAATGCAAAACTTTTAAACACTAACAAAAGAAAGTTAAGGAAAAAAAATAGTTCTTTCGGTATGCCGAATATGTTATACACTTGCAGTAACATCTCAATATTACTATATAAATATTTACTATAATATGTATAAGTAGCTAAGAGTTTTGTAGATTTGAAGGGTGAACTGTGAAGTTCGCAGTTGCTGAGAGAACAAAAACAGACTGATGCCTATAACATTTAGGTTAAATGGAGTTTGTTTAAATTGAAGTTTGATCAACATATCTAGAGAAGCAAAGAGGTTAGACCCATCATATTCGTCCGATATGGCCTATGACAGCTTTATAATGTAGGGGTCTGATTAAGAATATATATATATATCTAATGGTAATTGATAGCTTAATATATAGAGAGAATATACTGTCCCTTGTATAAGATAGAATTAACTGCAATGGTATACAACAAAATGCCTTATAAACTTTACTTATCATTAATACCTTATTATAAGCAACTAGTTTAGCAACTGAAATATACTCGAACATATATAAAGACACAAGCCAAGAAAATCCAAACTGCATGTTTTTGCTTACAAACTATACTCTTCCGACTATATACTCTATTAAGGCATTAATGCAACTTTAATAAGTACTCTACACTAACTTTTGACTACACACACACACAAGCAAAGACACACGCAGACATAAACACACACACACACACACACACACACACAGATACGCGAACAACTTGTACACAATCAAATTCGTTGAAGCAAAACATTTTCTTATTTTCAAATTTGCCAACTTATTAAAATTTTAATGGAACTGCAATTGAAAAATCTTTAATATGCTCTTCATTTTTCTCTTTAATTATTTTTGAACGTATCGCTAAAAATAAACAAAAAAAAATTCAATCAACAAAAATCTATACAATCGACTCAAAATTCACCAAATTGCAACTATACAAAAAATCAAATTGAAACTAAAAAAATAAAAAAAAAATCAATATCAAAACTCTACTTTACTCGAATCAATTTATCTCATAATCGATAACGACATCTGGAACCCCACTGAATTAATCGGAAACATGTAAGTATCGATACTCTCCTTGGGAGAAACTTCATAATTATCGTTATTTGCTTTGGTTGTTGTCCTCATAAATGTGTTCAAGTTATTTTCGTTGTGTTTGTGTTTCGTTCAGTTTACAAAAACAAAAAAACCAAGCAAAATTTAAAAATAAATTTAAAAAAGAAACATTAATAAAATGATTAAACTCTAAACATGCGATTGTAAAAGCGTGAATAAATTTTATGTTTTCTAAGGTAATTGTTAAAATGCTTCTTTCGTAATTTGATTACTAGGAATTTCTTGTGTTTGGTTCTTTAACTCTATCGCTGTCTCGCCCGATTGATTAGTGTATAATGCAATTATATAACAATTTTTTTATGATTTGCAACTTGTTTGTGTGCTGTAATGTTTAAGCAGAGCTTCGATGACAGTCAGAAACAAATATATATAAACAAATGATCGACAAATGTTTATTTACTATTATTTTTGTTTTCACATATAATTTATTGAGTTGTTTATATACTTTCAATCTTATTTTTATATTCTGGTCAGCATAAACATAATTCACCCGACATTCGACATTCAAGTCTTGAGACATTTTGAAAGCCCATGCAAAGCCAAAACTTTCAATTCAAAAACTCAAATTCAAACTCAAGTCCAAGTAGCGGTAAGTGACTACTCAAAAACTCTTTCTCTCTCTCTCTCTATTTCTGTTCCTCTGTCTCATTCTGTTACTATATAACGCTCGCTCGTTCGCTCGCTCGCTCTCTATATAAAGAAATTTAATTTAACTATAACTATTCAAAAGAACACATGTTTTATATAGTACAAACACACAAAATATTCCACAAAATCCCAGGTTAGTTTGTACAAATTGCTGGCTTTGGAGAACTGAATCAAACAATTGGCAGTTGATTTCCCAATCGATCATTAAAATAGAAGTTTGCTAAATCGAATCCAAATCCAAATCGAAAATTTGAAGCTGAAACTCAAACCCAAACAAAGGCAAATGGTTGCAAACCAACCAAGGGTTTATATTAATATTATAATACTTAGATAATGCTAGCGAATTCATGTGCCACTTTCTTTCAATTGTAATATATAACTAATTACTCTGTGATGCCTTTCATGTACATAGATTTAAACAATATTCACAAATTTAGCTCGTTCGCCTCTTTCTCTCTCTTTTTGTTTGATTTCCTAAATACTAAGTACTTTTTGAGGCCACGGGCCCACATGTAGTTATCCAAAGAACGTAGCCAAACTGTACATATTATACGAATCGGCTGTCTTATATCTCAAAACTATCTCTCTATCAACTCACAAATTCGGTTTGCTTCTTTTAAACATAATACAAGAAACAAATACTATATATACATATATAAATATCCGTTTTGCTTTTTGCGCCGTTGGTTTTGAGCTGGGTGACTCGATATACATAAGTAACAATTCGAAAAGAGTTTGTCTATAAGCGTTATGACTTGTATCTATTATGAACAGTAAGTCTACAACAATACTCTATATAACAACTCGTACAACAAACACAACAACAACAGCAACAAAGAAACAACACGCAAATAAAAGTAAATAAGTTTGTTTCGTTTGTTTAGGTTAATTTCATAATCAATTTTCAGTTCTATTCACATATACTTATATACACCAACAATATTTAAATATATATATATACAGACATATACTTTACCAAATCGAAGCTCTAAGACGTGCAGTAAATGTAATTCCATGTACTTATTTGTGACGTTTTCGTTTTGTGTCAATATTAAACTATCAATAAAGTTAATGTAACCATTGTTGAACTATAAAATAACTGTATACTCCGCACTTCGTACTGTGCCATCTACCAATATATCCCTGTAAGCCATATATATGATATATCTATTTGAGTATTTCCTTATTTCATGTGAATTGGGTAAAAATATCTTAATGTTTATCTTGTGTGTGTACCCTTGTTTTTACATATGTATCGATTACTGTTCGTATTATTGCTCCATCGAGCCTATCTAAGCGCTACAGGACATGTTTGCCAAATTGAATCGCAGTTGAATAAAAAAATAAATTCAACAACTATGGAGATTTGGCTTATTGTTGAAAAGATTTTAAACTAACCCTTGGATCTTCGACGGGATTCTAACTAAAAGTTCATATTATTTTCTATGAATCTTGATTTCTAGTAGGGCCTGCGATTAACTTTTATATCTTTCAAACTAAAACTCCCTTTATTTCTATCGATGACTTTCTGTTAATCAAATGTTATCGAAATACCAAAGAGTGTGCCCAAAGTGTCAAATGGTTCTTAAACAGATTTTGGGGATTCTGATGGCCCTGCCCATGTCTCTACCGACTAAAAACCTTTTGCGACTAGTTACTATATATTCGTATATAAATCTTATTAAATGTACCTTTTTTAGACTTTATGTAAAGTGTTCAATGTTGTGTACTCATATTGAATATTAACCAATGAACTAATTAAACGAAAATGTTTTGTTTTATTCTAACTATTTGTCAAACAACAACAGGAAAAGCTTGGTGACATTTGCTTCTCGCTGCGCTATGTGCCGACCGCTGGAAAGTTGACGGTTGTCATTCTCGAGGCCAAGAACTTGAAGAAAATGGACGTCGGTGGATTGTCTGGTAATATAACGTGCTACCAAAGCGTTGCCAAATTGCGAACAACGATTGCTCCAATGAGTCGGATTAATTTCGCAAATCTGGCAACGCTTCAGAGTCTATTTATGTGCATACTCGTATAGAACAAAGTGTGATTAAATTTTGGTATTGCTTTGTTACTGATCTGATTAATAATTTGAGTACACTTTTTGGTTTTCTTTGTTAAGATCAAACGAAGAAATGCAAACGGCAAGGCAACGTTTGCAGAGAGCAAAAATATTCAAATTTTGTTCCCTAATTACTTTTGTCAATTCGCAACATTCGATTTTTTTCAACTAATTTAGCGCAAATTTACCACTTGCATACTATTTTATAATAATATTCTCTCTTAAGTAATATTGCGTACGCTAAAAATCAATTAATATCATTTAATACCAATCCATGGATATATTCTCGTCTGGCAACGTTACCATCACTAAAATTTGCACAGTTTTCAACTTATGCCTGGCAGCAGCTAAATTCTAATGGCTCTGGCTCAAATTAGTGGTACATTTAAATTCGCTTGCTTCTAGCTTCACTTTTGCATGTAATCTAATTCTACTTAATACATAATTTCAATTCAAACACTCGCATTAACTATTTCGGACCCCACCGAGTGAGGGGCCAAATGCAAAACGTTGCCGCTGAATATATCCAAAAACAAAAAAACAAACAAACCCCAAAAAGGGTTATCAAGTTCTTCTAGGCTTTTACAAACAAAAGAACATTTTCAAGTATGTTTTGGAAAAGCAATTGACATTCTTTCCATGCTCTAATGATATTCGATCTGAAATTCTGATGATGAGACTATTTGTATTTTTGAACTATAACTATATATTTTCGTAACTTATGATTTTGTCGTTGTATGCCTTGAGTTTCAAGAGTTCCCATGTTCTAAAATACTCGTTAACCAAATAACTAAATATATTTAATTTTACAATTTTCAACAATTCTTTTCAAGAGCAGGCAATCGAAAGTGGAAACAAACTTTTTCGATAACTACCGATGAACGATAAGCGAGAAAAATACCATATCGTTTTGTTGATATAATATTAATAAGCTCTTTGTAACTCTTGCGATTTTCCATATGTTGATTACGTTTCTATGCGATGAAACCTTAAATGCTAACAAATAAAAGCATATAAGACTTTATTAACTATTTATATATTTGCCACATCCTCCATGGGATTGGCCTGTTTATACCAAAGTTTCTACTTTCGTTTGTTCTGGTCTTTTAATCGTTTGTTTCTTTTATTGAAGTACAATTTGTTAACTATTTTATAACCAATAATATATATATATATATATTATTTAAAAAAAGTACCGTTTTATGTACCGTTTTTTCGTTATATGTGTGTGTAAGCTGTCAAAAACTTAAAAACAAAAATTTCAAAAGCTAAACAAAAAACTGCTCATCAATTTCAATTTTTTTACTTTATTATTATAAAAGAAAATGTTTTCTTTTTCTTTCTTTCAATTTTTTCTATTTTATAGATCCATATGTGAAAATTGCAATCATGCAAAATGGCAAACGTTTGAAAAAGAAGAAGACAAGTATCAAAAAATGCACCCTCAACCCTTACTATAATGAGTCGTTCTCATTTGAAGTACCATTTGAACAAATACAAGTATGCGAGAATGTATTATACTATCCTATAAAACTACTACTACTCTACTACTACTACAACTACTACTACTACTACTACCTAACTCTACTTACGTCTTCTACTACTAATACTACTACTACTACTTACTACCTACTGTCAACTGTAACCAAAGCTGTCCTTTCTGAACTATCAACCAAACCAAAACATGTTCTAAACAAGTTTGAGTAACAAGCCCGCCTCCCTCAATAAAACACACTAGCCTCTTTCGTGCAATTGTTGTTGTTAATATAACTATCCTTTTATATATATATATATACACCATATGTATACACGTATTGTATATTACATGTGTTGAATACTCGTATTCGTATACCAAACAAAAAACAACAATGTCACTTTTACTCAAAGAACTCTTAAAGACAAATAAACGGTTGGCCAAAGAACTTTCGTATTGCCCGAAAACCTCCAAAATTCCACCAATTACTCGATTAATCAAATTAATTGTTATATGTGTGACCCCAAAAAAAAAAAAAAACAAATTAACCGAAACGTATTCTATGTTCAATGTTGTATTTAACCAAAAAAAAACACTTTTTGCTTTATGTTTTGTGTTTATATATATATTATATATACTTCGCTCAACGACTGCCACGCCCACATGCCGGCTGTAAATAATACAAAATATATGCTGAGCGCAGCACGTTGTTTGCGAAAGTCAATCTTGTCCTGATTTGCTTTTACGTTCTGTAGTTGATTGAGAAACTAAAAATATTAATAAACAATTTTAAGTTCATGCTTAGCTCTCAACTGATTTGGTTTTCAAAATATATCTATTTGTATATGTTCGATGTTGATTTTGACACAGACAATGACAACTCGTAGGTTAGGTCTGTTCCGCTTCGTAGTAACAACTACAGACTCTCAAGCAAAGCCTGAGAAACACCCACACAGTCTACCCGTAGTTAAACAATACGCAACAAAAAGAGATCGAGAGAGTGAGAGAGGGAGCAGTAGTGCAGCCCCCTCTCTTTAATACACCGCGTGTACGCATAGAGCAGTTCGCAATGCAGTGCACGATCCATGGAAAGGATATACATAAGAGATTCGATAATTGATAAAGAGAAAACACACTCACTTTTAACTACAATACTACAAACCCTATAAACTACCTACTACTCTTTCCATAATACAAACTATCGCAAACTCTCGTCAGCGGCGTCAATAATGCACCACAATATACGGGTACATTATTTTGACACTGTCTTCTGATTTGAATATCGAATTAACCAATCGCACCACCACCACCACCACCACCACCACCACAACTTAACTACAGTACTACAAAATACAAGATATACAGTACAAGTTTAAAGATATATGCAATAAAAATGAACACCAGCAAAAGAGAAGTATAGCGTATCAATATGAATACTAATAACAACATACATACATCTAGTACCACATCCAAAACTGAAAAGAACTCTGGTTACGTGTGCTAGTCCGAGACCGGAAACCCCAAGCCCCAAACCACCAAAAATCAAAATAAAACAAGTAGAAACGCAAACGTTATTGTATTATCTGACCAAGAAATGAAGGAAATATGTACGACAAATGGGATTGAATATTATACATTTTCGTTTACACGTATTTAATGAACATTTTTCTTTTTGCTTCAGCTTAAATGTTGACAACCAAAAAGCATTTTATATCTATATAAAAACAATAAAAAGAAAAGTAACTTGTTCATTAGCCCAGGTTAACACAGAGGCGAACTATATGTGTACATTTTAACATAAGCTATATACTAAACCACCAGCAAAGAGGGCAAAACTCATACGCTTTTCATTTCAACAAACTAACAATATGTTTATTTATCTATCATGACAAATTTTTTTTATTTTCTGTAAAGCTTAGTCAAGTGCATGCAATGCTTGTTTAAAAAAAACAAAAACCATCCAAAACATGGACCCAGCTTTAACTCATTTACTTTAGAATTGTATTTAATGGCGCTTTTTGTAATGCTTGAAAATATGTCGCCCACCCTTAGATCGAACCCCCTCAGCTTGTATTTAACTTTGTTGGGACGCTCTCCCCTACGCTCTTCACCTTAAATCACAAATGAACTGTAATCTTGCTGACAGAACTTCAAAATTGAAAGGCTACACAGGCAATTCGGTTCTCCAGACCGAAACTCTTCCAATCTTAACCTACACCATGTTCTTACAGAGCACCCCTAGCAAAATACACTACACTTAGTGCCAACTTTGCCTATGTATAATGCTTTCTAATACAGAGTTTGTAGTGTCGCCTGTCAACAGTAACAGTTCCCTCCCTCCTCTTAACCCACAAAACAGAACACGTATAACTCTCTCTCTCAAAAAAAAAAAAAAAAGAAAATATATAATAGCAATAGTTCTTCCATCTTAAAGTTCTATGCTCAACGCATAGCAGCCCCAAGAAAGAGACCGTTTAGATAATAATTGATCAATTATTTTACACTGACTAACGCAATGTTTTTGCTATTGCAACCGGATTTGGAAAATCTTTAGAAAATCTGTCTTGTTGTTACCGTTGTGGATTACGATCGTATTGGCACCTCTGAGCCCATTGGACGCTGTATACTTGGCTGCATGGGCACCGGCACCGAGTTGCGCCATTGGTCCGACATGCTGGCCTCCCCGCGTCGGCCCATAGCTCAATGGCATACTCTGAAGGATCCCGAGGAAACTGACGAAATACTAAAGAATATGAAGTAAACGCTACATTGCTGATAACTCCAGGTTGGTCACAACACAGAATCTTATTATTTCTATATATAACTATTTGTCCTGACTGCCTGACTCTCTGGTGTTCAATGAACTGTCCAAGTAGTAATACCTAGAAAGCTGTATTTTCTGTAATAGCTTCAAATATGGGAACTGAGAAGGGGTTTTTGAATTGAATATCCAATTGGAGAAAACGGTTGAAGAAGTGCGACTGTGTGACTTGTTGCGTCGGACCTACAAGCGAGCAGACGCCGGCTCAAATCCCACAGCAATTTGCCAGACATTTGTTTTATTTAGCAGAGCTTAACTTACAGGTATTATGGATCGAACGCCAGTTTTAATTGGGACGTTTTTGTTGATCCTAATAATAAGACGTTTATTTATTAAGCACTGAATATAGATTATATAATTTAAATTTGGAAACGGATTTTATTTAATTGTATTCAAAATAAATATATTTTATTATAGAATAACAGCACACCTTAGTATCATGCGGATAAAGTACACGTACATACACATATTGAAGATGAAGTAAAACCAGAGAACTCAAGAAAACCGTCAACATTGAAATCGTATGGATCATCAGCTACAATTGATCTTCAAGAACCTCAAGACCCACAAAATAACAACAACAATCAATAAAATAAATATCGTAGTTATTGCAAATCGATTTTTTTGCGCAATTCATCAACAAATGAGATAGGCAAACAGGAAGAAAAAATATAAAAAAAAAAACGCTCCATTCAGAGAAATCTAGAAGTTTAAGTTAAATATCCATCACATTTTTATACCTAAAAACAAAAACAATTTTTTGTCCATCTATAAAACGAGAGATTAATTAGATTTATTAAATTTATTTCCAATTAAAGACATTTATCCGTTTTCATGTTTACAAACATTATTGTTATCATTCAAATAAAAGATGAAAACAAAACATAGTTAAATGAAAATGAAAATGAAAACGACAAGAAAATAAAATTCTACGAGTATGTTAAAAATTAAATTGATAAAGTCTATATACTCAATATACATGCAGACATTTACTTAACGGTGAAACAACAAACTAAATCATAATTTTAAAACGTTAAGTTAAACAACATTTTAAACTAGTCAAGCGTCTATATGAAAACAGTTTTCTTGCCAGCTTTCATTTGACTTTGAAGGAAAACAAAAGCTGTTTAAAGTTTATTAGTAAATCGATGAAGTAAATATTAGACCTAATGACAACTAATAATTACCAGAAGACAAAAGATGAAAATAAACTGTTATGTAAATTATTTATTATATTTAATTATTGAGCATTATGTATTACTGTAACTGTGTAAGTATATAAACATCAACATATATGAGAGTACATGCCAGACATATGAAAAAATAAATATATTGCGAGTATATATATATATATATATATATATATATATATATATAAAACAATTTATGTATAACCTTTGCATAGACTTATGTTATGTATACACAATGCTGAGGTTTGGCAAATCGGCTAAAAACAAAAGAAAAAAAGAAGAATAAGTAGAACAAACACAAATAACATCAAAAACATAAAAGCAAATAACAAAAGTTTAACTTTAAAGCGTGATTTCAATGGAATATATCATCAGTTTAAACCTTAAAGTACTTAACTTATATCGAAGAATTCATCCCTTATGGAACCTGATTTATGATATTCTTTGGTAAACTTCTAAATCTATAAGCTTATCTATTGTTTATAACTGATTTCCTTTGAGTTGCTTTTGCCCTATGTCGAACTCTTAAGGTTTCTAATACTCCTAACTTTCTCATATTTGATAATTTGGAAAAGCATATTAGGTCCTAATGAAAATATATATAAATATATATATACATACTAATTAAATGATTATTAACAAGGCAAAAATGACAAAAAAAAAAAAGAAAGAAAGAAAACAATGTTAAAACAAGAAATATTAAGAACAATAATAGTTATTACTATTTATATTATATTCAAGTATATATATACATATATATATACATGAAATCTTAACAATATACATTTATATATAAACTTCTATAATGTTGTGCGGCCTGTGCACAAACCTACTAAATTGGTATTTTCAATGAACTGGCAAAAAGTAAAAAAAAATTAAAAACAAAAATAAAAAAACAAATATTATTAAATAAATGAAAACTGCAATCTTAAATATGGCTAAATATAAACAAGTTTAATTGAAAGAATTCCAAGGAGAGCTGGCCATAAATATTATTGATTATTTCCATAATGCAAGTAAAATTAACTATTAAATTAGATGTTTTTGTCCTGTAAAAAATATTTAAAAATGGTATATTACATTTATAATAATTATATGTAATAATTATAATGCGTAGATCGGGATCGACAAGTTCCCTTCACACTGTTTGTAGTTATGTTCACCACGGCAAAAACTAAAATAACTCAAACACACACACAAAAACAATGCAAACTGATTATACCAATATACCAAGAAAAAAAATATTTATGTAATATAATTCATCTAAATTACACGAACAAAATGTTCTGAAAAACAGGCATACAAATTCTACAAAAAAAAAAAAAATAATAACGAATATTCTTCAATAAACCCCAAACAAAGAATACGTACTTTGCTTTTCCAAATAATTACTGTAAATTATCAAATTATCAATACTAAACAAAGACACAAAACTTACCAAAACAACAGCAACAACAGAAAACAAGAACAAACTATATATATATATATATAAAATACTTGAATATTAAACAAATTATATGAAATTATATAAAACGATGTTGATTATTGATTTAAACTGATGTATGAATAAAAGCAAATGATATACATATAAAAATATTAATTTATTTATATCTATATGCATATGTACACATATATATATATGTGTGTGTGTGTGTGCGTATACATATATAAATATTATCAAAAGAAATTCATTTGCGTTTTCCTTTACTTTGGTATATTTTTATTCTACACAACTTACGCTGTCCCCTATTTTATACGACAGTGTGCATACCTTGACTACATGTACATAATCAAACACACAAACACACAAGCACAAACACACAAACACACACACACACACACACACATCCATACAAAGCCACCCATGAACTGACCAAAACAAAAAGCGTACACTTCAGTATGTATTATAAATATGGATGTACTATGATTACCGTTAGCTATACCGTTAAGCATACCGTTAGGCATACAAAAGTGTATGCATGTATCTGTATTATTTCGCAACGTTTTCAATGCAAGCAGCGGTAAAAACGCAGCGCAGGAGCCATCACAAAAAGCACAAATCAGTAGTTGGAAACCAAAAAAAAATAAAAAAAAAACGAAAAATCAAAAACCAAAAAAAAAAACAAGTATTAATAAAAATAGTTAAAAAATATTTAAAAATAAAATACGAAACGAAAATACCAAAAGCTGTAGATGTCCATGTATTTTTATTTTTAGATATTTATGTATGTAATTTATATTCAATAAATCAGGCATAAATGCATTTAACAACACCATACGAAAAGCATAAATAACAAAACTATAAACAATATATACTACAAATAGAGCGCACCTGAGGATCGCTTTGTGAACTAGATCGGGCAGAAAAAATTGCACTTACATACATTCATGTATGCGTGTATGTTTGTGTGTTAGGCGAAAATGTAAGAATAGCAAATGCAAGAAGAAAGAAATATATAAGTATAAAAAAAAATAGGTAAACCAAAATATAGGGCAATGTTTGAATTATAAGTTAAAGGCCACATAGCGTGCGCATTATATGCAAATCCATATGGAATATACATAACATACATACATATTTACATAAATACATGCATACCAGGCAAACAATCTACGAAAAATAGCAAACATAATTTTATATATACCAAACAGAATAGCAGTAAAACGAAGATATATACATAATCATTACAGCACCGCATAGTATGAAAAATATCCATACCATATACATATATATAGATATCTATATAAAACATAACTATGCATACTTACCTATCCCATATATAAATAGGTTGCTCTGTTTGAGACATCTATCTATATTGAATGTGGTCCGTTATTTGGGCATATCCATCAGTTAACACATTTTCAACTACGTACAGTTACATCATGTAGCGGTAGTCAAAACCCAAAAACAACTGGTCACACATTCTCACCACAGTCGCAAAATGCGATTCCCCACATCATTAAGCTCGTTTCGGAGTTTTGTTGTTTATGATAAACTGTTTATAGCTGTTTTTCGAATTTTAAAAAAATTATATTTACTATATAAAAACTAAAAAATAAAAAGGACAAAAAAGAAATCGTATATAATAGTACACATGCATAATACATACAAGTATATGTTTTAAAAGCTCTTACCAAACTTAATTGCAAACTGAATAACTGCAAAGCAAATGCGATTGAATTATATTATTGATTATGATGCAGCTGTATTGCATGCAAGAAGTATATACTTTTATTTCAAAGCAAAAACAAATATATAAAGAATTTAAAAAAAGATAGCAGATGTATGCGGATCTCCAACCGCACACCCAGAACAACGGCGTCTGTAGATATATTATACCACAAACACACTGATGTGAACACACAAATGAAATGACATGAAATGAAAAACGTTTATAAAGAATAAACAAATGTTTGAAACTATTAAAACTACTTCTTATTTGGTTTTATTTCAAGAACATCATGAATTCAAATTCCGCGCCAACTTGCAGGCTTGCATTGCAATACAGAACTGTTAACGAAGGTCTAGCGCAATGGCAGTCACACTGTGACGTCATGATTGCCCAAGTCTGTGCTTCAAAATGCAAATTATATCCGAATCAAGTCATATACATATTAACTGTAGAAAAAAAAAACTTGTTATATAATATTGAACAAATCGGACATTTTCACATTGATATCTCATACGATCGGAATCGAATTGCGATAAATCGAGATGTTCGGCAGAATTTCGATAATTCTTATGCAAAACCGCCAAACTTTTTTTTCCAATTAAATTTAGAATATGATCGAAGTTGGCTTGTTTTGCGCAAAGATTTGACAGCACGCCGGCATGTTATATATTTACAATACAACTCAAGTCAATTGGAACAACAATGGCGCAACAAACAATCAAACACGTCTCCACAGCTCGCATATTGCTGCTCGGCCAAGCAGGTGGGTAACTCTCTCTCTCTCTCTCTCTTTCTCTCTCTCAATATATGGGATCCGATTATCGAACGTCTTTCTTTTTTTTGCAGGCGTTGGTAAGTCCCGGCTGACAGATCTGCTGGCCAGAAGCGTTGACACGCCCACGCCCTCCACTAGGAGCGTCGGCGACGCTTGGTGGAACGTGCAGGTACGCCTGCACGAGTATCCCTGTAATAAAGGGATGCCACCCACACCAGAGTGGACATCGTCCTCGTCGCCCAGCTCCTCGCACAGCTCCGAGCGCCTTGGCTCCTCGTGTAAGCTGTTTCGTCGCAGGGCGGAGGCCGCGTGTGACATGATCCCATATTTTGTGGAATTTTACGATTTAAAGAGCTCGATGCGAATGCCGCGCGAGCATAGGAATCGTCTCTTTCGCAACATCGATGGCATTATATTAGTGTACGATCTTTTAGATATGAGCTCGCATGACAATTTGCACGATTTGCTGTATCATCCACTGCGCCAGATCTGTCGGCATCGCCACAAGCGGCTCCGACCCATCTTAAAACGTCGCCACGTGCCCATCCTAGTGGTGGGTACCAAACTGGATATGTTGAAAACGCGCCGGCTACGTCGCTCGGGCGGCATTGCCGGCCAATTGGGTGCAGATGAGATATTACTTAATTGCTTGGACCCCGACAGCTTGGCCGAGAAATCTCGCAACGAGGGCAAACTGCGAAAATTTCTCAACAATGCCGTCGACTTCAAGCAATACTTTCCAGCCAGACGCTACTGAATCTACATGCTTCTATCTGTATATTTTGTACATTTTGAATTTTTTAGTTTTAATAAGGTGTATTTATTTCTTTAAAGCGTTTTTCTGTTTCGCTTTAACTCAGCCATTTAAGCTCCTACCCAGGTGGCCACTGCATTTGGCGGCCGCCCAGGAAGTGCAAATGTAAATGGTAAACGGACTGGGCGCCATGTTGTCCGTTATTAATGACCACGCGGTAGCCCTTCTCCAGACCCAGTTCCTTGGCCACTTTGCGGCCCACCAGCATCAGATGGCCCAAGAGATCGGCGTCTCCGTCCTCGGCCGTAGAAAGCTGCGCAATTGGCTTGCGCGGTATTACCAGAAAATGGGTGGGCGCCTGGGGCGCAACATCATTGAATGCCACACACTAAACAAAAGTGCAATGAAGATAACTGAATAGACAAAATGTGCCCTTTGTACCGACCTTCTCGTCTTCGTAGATAAATTTGCATGGAATCTCCTTGCGTAAAATCTTGCCAAAAATAGTGTCTTCGGATGCCGCTGCGCTCTGCGCCTTCTCTACCTCACTTGCCATTCTGGCGCAGGTAGTTGATATGCTGCGATAACTATGAAATTTAGGATGAAATAAATTTAAAAAATAATTTCTTTTTTTTTGCGTATTTACCGAAAGAGCCCACTTAAATTCCGGCCGGCGGACACGAACATTGATAAGGGTGCTGCCAACTGAAGTTCAGTAGCTACTTGTCAACGTGCATTATCGAAAATACAAGGTTTCTTTTACTGCGCAAACTATCGTTTGGGCTGCCAATTACGTCATAAGTGACATGCACATTTTGTCGTCGAACTAATATATGTCAATGATATTGGAAATTAAATGGTGAATCGAATATTTTTGTAATTAATAAAATTAAATCAATGCAAAACACCACAAATATTTTGAAATTGTTGATAATCTTTGCAAAGTGCTGCCAACTTATGCTGACATGAACTATCGATTACATTTAATGGAGATAACCAACTTTTCGATAAACGGTCACACGACTGCCTTCGGCATTGGTCATCTGCGCAGCGAGTATAAAGCAACAAAACAGTTTATATATTGCATTTAACAGTTACACAAATACCTTTCATTACTGGTGATGTCAGGGCTGCGCTCCAAAGTTATCACTCTCTACAAGCACGTAAGTATATTTGCCAATTAGCTTGCCACTCACTGCCTGTACCACGTGCAAGTGCACTGTAACAGCGGCAGCAGCCGCAGCTTTAGGCAAGGGGTCGGTGGAGGGGCATCGATACTAAGATTGCGTAAATTCCATTGCAGTTACAATACCTGGGTCGTGACTACCCTGGCCTGAATGGGCCGCAAAAGTTTCGCAAGCAAATTCACGATGCATTCATAAAGAACAAGGATGAGCGCGATCCCAAGAAGATTGTCGCTCTGCTGGCACAGGGACGATATCTCGCCAAGGAGGTGGAGGCGTTGTACTCGCTGAAAAAATATCGCAGCGTTAAACAGCGCTACAGCTGCAATGAAATGCAAAGCGGAAATGCGAATTGAAGGACTGAAACAGAAACGAGAATATGATACATAAACACCTTTTGTTTTTATTGTAATTGAGAAAACGAAACCAAATGTACACCCCCCCCCCACACACACACACACACACACACACACAGCTACCAGCACACATGCAAACACTAATTGTTATTTTCGAATGTCTTGTCAATGTTTAACTTTAAGTTATTGTTGAATAAAAGAGCAACAGTCATTGGATAAGCAAAAAGAAACACGCGCAAACATTGACAAATTATCTGATAACCTTGAATGGTCGTGGGGGCATATTGTCAATAAAAACAACCGTTGGATACACTTGCCAAATTATGACCACGGGTTGATGGTCGCCCATGCGAATGCGTTTACCGTCGGCGCCTGAACTCTGTTGACAAAATTGCGTATTTAAATTCGTTTGAACGTTGATCATCTGTCTACGTTGCCACCGTTCATGTGTTGGTGATAAACAAATCTGACGCCGCTGTCAACGGATTGAGCTTTTTCATACACTTGCCGACGGGCATGTACACTATTTCACGCTCTTTGATACATGTCTATACAGTAGATAAAAATGCCAAACAAGCCTTTATACACATATAAAACAATCGTATTCTATGGAACAATAAGGGTCTAAGTCAATCAAAGGTAAAGTCCTCTAAACTATTTCACTAACCAAACAAAGCCTAAGCTATACAATCTTATCATTGTGAATGAATCATAAAGTCATACTATAAGACATTACTAACTCCAGTCTACCGACGAGAGTATCATCTTTTTTGGTTCATTCATAGAATTCGAACCTCAAAGATGTGTAATAGAAGGAGGAAACAAGATACGTTATTAACAGGGTATGCAGGCGTCGGTGTGACAAAGTTGGAACTGATTTCTTGGGGTTTTCTGTCGCAAAATGAAGAAGCTTTCGCGAAATTGTAAGGGCAAGACATTTAATCTTAACGCTTGTCAATGATTGTGGAATGTTATTATAAAAAACATTTATCACGTCACGTATACGTATACCCCAGCTGATAAGGGAGTTCATTGATGCCAATCAAATCTAAAGGGAAATTTATTAAACTGTAAACAGTCATCGACTACTAAATACCCTACGTTAAGGCCTGTGAAGTTGCCTTATACAGCGTGGTAGCGTATAGCCTTGTAATCATTTCTAAATAGTGTAGCTGGTAGGTCTCGATTCTGCCTAAAAGAAAAGATTGGGCTCATACGTGTGCAGCATACTTTAACTTATGCCGAGCTTGGTCAAGGTATCTTGGATAACAAATAATACTAAAACATAATATTTAGAAGCTATATGATACAGTGGCCCGATAGTAAAAGGATTTAGCATATATATGAGAAGCAAGTGAAACGAATGGCATTTGCAAAGTTTGGTTCAGATATCTTGATAAATGAAATAGTCCAAAATATCTCTTTCTATGCGTCTTTCTATCATGACAAAAGAATAATACTCCCTTCCAGGGTATAAAAAGCGACATAAGATACTCTACTATATCGAAAGGAAATATAGTTAGATTTCTAAGCAAACTAAATCATATATGGTGATCAAATCCAAAATTGATTAACGCTACAAACTTGTGTACTTATATACATAACTTCTTAAGATCATATGCACATAACTATAATAATATAAAATATAAAGTTTTTAATTAAATTAATATTTTTGGAATATTTAGTTGTAACATTAAATTATTATATAACTAACAATGACAACTTGAAGACAATATATGAAGGGCATACAATTGATAAATGTGGAATAAAAATACTTCATATATAAGACAAACATATAAACACATATTTGCCGAACACACGATTTGTTTAGAATACAAATTAATTTATGTATGGGTTGTAGAATATTAATATTTGAGTTATTCCTTTGTTATTTACAACATAAAACCTCCCTAATATTGTACTATTTATAATATTCTAAGCTAATATTCGCATGCCGCTGATTAAATAAGAAACTTACAATTACAAAACTATTAGCAAGTATCTGTAAAACTAAATATTGCTAAAATCACAAAGATTTCCAGGGGAAAGCGTCATGGTCACAGTATAAATGATTCGGATGCTGTAAATCACTTTAATAAATACATATAACATATATATATATTTAGTAAGTAATCAGCCGAATTCAAAGCCTAAAACATCATCCATGCCATAGTCAAACAGACGAAAGTCCTCCTCATAGATTTCGTACAGATGCCGTATGGCGCCAATGGGCAGTGGATCAAAGTAATTTCGCAGATTGGCGCGCGTGCTGGACGGCTTGTGGCCAGTGGGGAATGTCAAGTTCTTGGCACCCGCCAGATACAGCGCCAAGGCGGAGTCATCCAGTAAGGTGTCGTATTTGCCTGCAAGGGATGTATGATTGTTTAGAAAATGTGTCATCTGAGTGTTCCAGCATGTGACTTACCCACAACGTTGTACTTCATGACACAGGGATTGCACAGTTTGGCAATAACCTCCCAGTGCTCATTGTAGTCCGTTTGGTTGGTGCGACTAAGCTCCGGCGTCAGCAAATACTGCACGAACTCGCCAAACTGAACATCGTTGCCCTGATTAAGGGACTCGTTGCTAGCACCGGGGCGCAGCTCCCGCACAATCTGACGACCCACACGGGACTGAAAGTAGCGTGCGCTGGGCGAACCACCCTCCAGCTTATTGCGATACGCGGAGAGCAGCCGCTCAAATGGATGCCGTACCAGAATAAAGCGTGTGTACTCTTCGCTGAGCACCTGGGCGCGCTCCTCCTCGCTCAGATCGTAGAATTTGGTGAACATGCCCACCGAATGCGCCAGCGACCCAGGTATCTGCAGCGGATCCGTGCCATTCTGCCACTTGCCCGTCAAGAGCATCAGCACCCGTTTCCAGTTTGTGCAGGCCACCTACACGAGCGAAAGGGAGCATCGGGGAAATAAAACATTTTGTTTAGTTCAAGTTCTGTTGCAATTTTAACTAAATAAACAACAATTCGAATGAGGCCACAAAATGTATTTTCTGGTTTTCCTATGAATTATGTTTACCACTGAGCAAGAACATTAAAATGTTGTCTGTCAGTGATTCAGAATTTGGGCTCTATCTACTTTAAAGGAATTCTTGTGAAATCGACTCAACGATAAGCACGTTGAGCGCCAGCACGGATTCCATATCTCAACATAACAGTTGGCTATTTTTTATCATCGACAAAAGCATTTCAGGGCTTTGGGAGATATTTCCTGTATAGAAGATGGCGGGCAAAGGATATGTTCGCAAAATAAAATATATATATATATATAGTGCGGATTTCATGATAATTATAGAAACTTGACAAGCAAATCGGTGAATATTTAGCAAAGTAACAATTCGAAAACCTGTTATTTTAACTTAGCTTCCGCTCCGTCAACTTATTTGCAATTTGTCATAAACAAAGAGCCGGCAACAAAATATATAATGTACATGTAGATATGATTACAAAATACTTTTTCAATTGGAATTTGAGCCGACTGTGCAAAATGAGTTGAACATAAATTATAGAAAGTAAATAATGAGCAAGCAGAGGGCAATGTGGAGAGGGTAGATGTCATATTTTATTATGAAGAAAATAAAATTATAATTGCGAACAATGCGATCTACTCAGATACTCGGCCAAAACACTTTTCTCTTAACTGCCAATGCTAATGAATTGCAATTTACGCCAAGATTTATGTTTAGAAAAAAAAAATGCGGTTTAATTGCTGCATGCGAGTATTCCAAAGCACGCTGAGAGCTGGCCACTTAGCGGATCAACTATAACTAAGCAGCCACAGCCACAATTACAGCAACAACAAATCAACTAAACATATAAACATTTCGCTTAGGCAGGGCAGCCCGACCGACAATGTCGAGTGTAATTAAACGCTACAAAAACATTTCAAATCACAAAAACAAACAATTTTCGTATACACAACACACAGGAAAAACTACGGGCCGAGTGGTGCTGCTGCCACAGTGGTGCGCAGCCTGCCGCGGAAAATCAGCCTACAATTGAGCAATGTCAAGTTGTCAGATAAAAGTGAAATATCCACCTAAACAAAACATGTTGATGTGCTGCAGACTCAAACATAGCTGCGTAAATGAAGCATTGTCGGTGGTTTAGTTTACGGTTCGAGCCAGCCTCCTGCCTGAAGAGGTTTGGTTCAGCTGTGCTTATTCAAATATGTTGAAACTATGTTGGAAATCCGGGCTTGAGCTTCAGGATCCAGAAGATTTAGAAGCCTTGGTTCAAACCAACATCACGCTTTAAGTTCGGCTCGCTTCTGTTAACTCAGATTTGGGTTTGAGCCCACATATCGTTTTACATTTATTGAAATTCGCATTTTTATATTAAGAGCTTGCAACATATTGTGAGAGCTTGTAAAAAGCCCAAAATTTTAGCAATTTTTAATCTCGTATTGGACACTAAGCTATGGTCTAAGTTTGGGTTCGGCTGTGCTTTATGCAACTTATCGGGCCTCCTAAGTTTGTATTTATCAATAGACCGCGATCCACTGTGCATGCCAGAGGTAACAACGAATCGCGGCAAAGGTTCAGGTTCAGCGTTTTTCGAACACAATGCGCATACGTTAAAATTATTTGCAATACGTAAGCGATCATAAAATACAATTTTACACAATTTCTTTTGGCTATAAAAGGCACATTAAGCACAACACGCAATGGTCGCATAAAAAGCTCAGCTGTACAGTGGACAGTGGGGTTAATAGCACACGAATACGACTTCGTGGAACGCGGTCAGGTAAAAGCGCGCTAAGTTTTTGACCCCCCACAACGCAAGCTGAGATCTCGTGCCTACGCCTCTGTCGAGTAGTAATTGATAAAAAGAAAAAGAAAGGAACGCGAGCTTGTCATACAACACGATACGCCCACTCCGGCAATCGATGCGTACCGCGATTATCAATGCGACAGGTGAACGCGGTGGTCTTTCAAATATAGCTTCTACATTTTAACCAAAGAATACTGTTACCAACCTCATAGCGAAGCACTCATTAATTAGCTAATTGAAATACGATCTGTGATATATGAGATCTATTATAGCTTGTACGGGGTATTATAATGTGTAACGCATTTAAGAAGTTGTCGGCCATCCCATAAAGTATATATCCCTGATCAGTATCAACAGCCGAGTTGTTACAGGCACTGCATATATCGGAACGGGCCGGATCAAATTACTTTATCATATAGACGTCTATAATCTATCTACTACTACTATCTACTATGACTCCCCTAGCAACAATCACGTGGAAGGATAGCTTTTTTATGCAAGGGTATTCAATCTTCGACATGCCGTTTATTGTGATAATCACTACTTTTAAGTCAAATGTGGTGTCTTTACGCCATGTTTAAAGCGATCTCACATTAACTCCTCTACTGGACAAGTTGCTTCATTGTAACTTTTTAAAATATTCTCCCAATTGTAGAGTTCGATTGCTATTGTTAGCAGGAAAAACTGCCATTACACAAACATATCTCGGCACAAGAATGTCGGAAATTCAATTTGAGCAACAATTGTAACATAAAGAAGAAACAAGGTGTCAAACTCACAAAGTGGCGCCACAACCACGAGGCATACGTCATGGCACGGCATAGCCCATTGGGTATTACTCAACAGCCGCAATTTGAGCACCACCACAAGCAAGAGCTCATTATGTTGGGCGAGGGTTCAAAGTGCGTTGGACACATGAAACACGACTCTATTTATATATCGCACCTGCAACAGGTGAGCAATTTCAGTTTTGTTAGCTGGTTAATCTAATCAAATAGTTCGTCTAATACAATATCATAAGTAGGTATTTGATAGCAGCCGCAAGTGGAGGAAATGGTTTTTTGTTTTTTTTTTTTTTTGAGAATTCCATACTTTGCTAATTTCCTTCAATTGAATTAGCTTAGTTAAGGTCTAGATTCTTATCGAGCGCCTTATTAAATCGAAATTTAATTAATAAAGGCAAAAACTTTGATAATCCCAAATGGACGTCATTTAATTGGCCCATTGGGACGCGCAGATAAGGAAATGTGTATCCCAATTAGAATATTCGCTGATCTAATCAACGTGCCCTGCTTATCGAACAGACGGGCAGAAAGTCGAGTAGACAACCACTTTGGCATTCGATCTGACACACTCAGAGACAGCTCTCGTGTGTTTCTGAACCCATGCAAATTGCTCAGCAATTCTACAACAAATTACAAAACACTGATAATAATTGCTTATAATTGTCAGAGGCTCCACTAAAACGCAGTTTGCATATAGGAAAAATATAAGTTGAACTCGACTCTAGATATACTCTGTAAGCTATTAAAGGTAAGTTGTGTGGAGGATTAAATCTCTGGGTTTTGTTGAAAATTTTCTTAATTTTGAATATCGTTCGGAGCTACATACAAGATTTTAGTTTAGCAGCTCCAAAGTACTCTAAAGTCAACTTTGAATACAATGAATTATATATTTATTTTCATTTTTGTAAATTAAATTATTTAAAATTTTAATCAAAATTAAAATCTGAGCCGAATCAAAGTCACGTCTGAAAGCGCAGCAGAAACTGCATTCGCACATTTTGAAAACAAAGTGCATGCCCGGATTAAACCCAGTCTACACTTAATTTACAAGGTATATAAATGCATTTATGGCCATATAATTTATAATTGCACAGAGGTTTAGGGAAGGTTATATGGTTATCTACGCCAGTACTATGGAAATTGACTTCAATAACAGACATGGCGTCGAATTGCCAAGCAAATCAAAGATTGGCATAGTCTCTTGATAAGCCAGCCAAGTGGTGCGGGATTTAGACAAGCAATCAGCTTGTACTACTTATAGTCAGTCTTGTTGTCTGGTTAAACTCGTCTGGTGAAAGCAACACAATCACACGAAATCGATTGAACAATTATCATGCCACATGTGGCAAGAATAAACAACAGTCCAACAGTGTGAGGGGCCGGTCTGAGCTGTTGTGGTTGCTGTGGCGCTGCCTCTGGGGGAGCATCAAATGTCAGCAGGCCAGTAAAAGAGAAAACGTGGAGCAAAAAATAAAACAAGTTTATTTCATGTGTGGATGAGAGGCATTTGACAAAGGGTCGCAGCACGCTGGACGGCCACAAGCGGAAGGGAGCTAAACCACACATGGCGAACCGGGCAGTCAGAATAGAACACACATAAAAAAAAGTGTCTTCTAGTTGGCCATGCTCGACCATGACATACCCTATACCCCCCAGTCAATACGAGCTACATTTAGTTCAGTAAAACATAGCTCCACAAACACTCTGTCTGGCACTTTATAAGATCAAAGATATTTCTTTCTGCCTGTTACTTAAATTTGCACCTAACTATTATACCCCTTTTGTAAACTTTCAATTGACACAGGGTATAAAAATAAAATTCTGAAAATTTCGTTTTCAGTCAGAAAAGTTTTGTGTTCAAAGCTGACGCAGCGAATTAATTGAAAAGGTTGAATAAGTATATGGAGAGGTGGGTACCTTGGGCACATAGCAGTAGAGCAGCTTGTGCTCCTTATCCACAATCATGTGATCCATTTGCAGCTCGGTAAGATCATCCACAGTTTGCCTGTTGGCCTCCAGCAGTTCACACTGTCGCTGCATAAACTCCTGACGCTGTATATTGATTGTTTGCGTGAGTTCCAGGCTATGTTTGGTGATTTTGACATTGTTGTTGTTGCCATCCTCAAAAGCGGCAGCTGCCAAGAGCCGCACAAAAGTGTAAAGCAGCAGAATGCCAAAAATTTGTACATTTTGATTCATTTTGGTCTCGCAAAGCTCTGGTTTTGGCGTAGTTTATAGTTCAGGCTGTTGTTCATTTGGCAACTTTATAAATTTCCTTTTCGTTTCGTTTTAGCTCTGCCGCCGGCGACCGAAATACTTGACGCGATGCACAAACTTCAAGTTAGCCCCGTTCTCAATACCCAGCGCCGTTAGAGTCGCGCGTCCGTTGTCAACGTTGTCATCGATCGGCTGATTGGTATCCACGTTGAACAGTGCAAAGCAGCGCCATAGAAACCGCCAAGAGACCAGCGCGCGATGTTGGTGCCCGTTGCGCAGCGCCGAGTTAACTAATTCGCCACTGGAGCGCGGCATGGCTTCAGCTCCAGCAGATCCCACAACCTGTTGTCGGTCACTATCTTCGGCCCGGCCAGCGGCGTCTTCGGCTACCCCACGACGTTGTTCGCGTTGTCTTCGTTTCAGTTGAGCGCACGAGATCGTGGCGATCGCTTTTTTCAGTTGGGCAATCGTCGGAGAGCGCTGATGGAGCTGAAATATCAATGAAAATGCACAGTGTGAGAAATAGAGAATGTGAGCATTTTAAAGTTTTGAAGTAAGAGCACTGCCAATTTAAGAGCTAGTAAAATATAAGTAAACACTTGGATATGTTTCCATATAATATGGTTATGTTAAAGGACAAAAACTTCAGGAATATCTAATTACGACTCTCCTTTCCTTAGATATTCATTCGTAGCTGTAGCTCAGCATGAACCATATCTTTATTTTGAATAATAAGTCGCAAAATAAGAAGCTTGTTGGAACGGGAATTCTTTTTAAGTTTTCGATTTTTGGAACTACTAATTGAAAAAATGCAAATAAATTTTAAGCATTTTACATGTGCCTGTAATTATATTTGTTCTACCTTCGGCACGCAGGTAATTTAATGGAAAAATACATGAACTTCGGAATGCAAGTTTTAGGAACTTTTTTCCGGATAACTAAATAGATTTATAATATATAATGGAGATGGTAGACCCAAAGTTTAACCACAATATAAAACAGTTTGTATTCAAAGAATCAATGAAGCATGAAGCTGCAAGAAGTTCTTTCTCTTCTCTTTTTAATTCTTATTTTCATTGTTCCACTTTTCAAATGGCGTTTTTGGCATGAAAATGAAATAGTGTTTACATAAACGGCGAAAATTTCACCAGCGTCTACAAAAGAACCTCGCGAATTGGACATTAATCAAATTGATGAATCGAAAACGGCTACATATGTATGTACATATTGAATTGAATGGCAATCGGGTGCAAACAGCTGCGCGCAAGGTAACTGGGAGTTGTGGGGTCAATTGAGAGCTTCCGACTGAGACTCCGAACAGCCGACCAGTGCTGCCAACTGACGCTTCGGAAAAATAACGGATTCCATGTAAAAAAAAGCTTCGTGAATGTAAAAATATTGTTGTATTAGCTTTCTGTAAATTGCTGGCAAAAACAACTGATTATATCAAATTAGAACAATGCGACTGACGTTCTCTGCAAATAGCTAAATGTAGCTACAAAATAGCTGAATTACCTCAATGTCGAGCGTGCTAAGTCCGTCGCGTTGCACGTGGATCGATGTAGCACGGCCCTCCGCTTTGGCAATCTGTAATTATGAAACATAGAACAGTTAACGGTAACATCAGGTGCCATAACATTTGTTCTGGCCATCAATTAGCAGCTCCACCAGAGTAGGTCACCCAACGATGGATTGTGACGAAAGCGAGGCAACGTGCTAATTGAGTTGCCGATCGGACAGTAAGGTGGCGCTTAGTGCGCGAATATTGTGACGTCACAGGAACACAGTTTGTGCTCTGAGAATGCTGCTTGTTAAGCACCACCTTAATGTTCGTTTCTCTTGCGGTTAACTTGCCTGGCCTAAAAGTTCAGCTGCCGTGGGATCAGGGGGCACATCTGCCAGCTCTTCGAACTCGGCCAAAATCTGCCGCAATTCTTGGGAGCTTGCAGCCAACATCGCATTATGCTCGGCTCGCTCAAAATCAGTTCCTAAGCGATCTAAAATTGTCCTTGATTTGGCGTGTTTTTTGCGCTTTGGTTGTCGCTGTTGCATGCCCGCCAAGTTGCGCGCCTCTCTAATTGCTTTCCTCTGCAAATTAATGGGCATTCTTTTCAACCTTCTGCGTTTAACCATAATTTGATGACGTTCTCGTAATAAATCCATTTTACTGCTTGAATCAGATCACAGCAACAGCTGCAGTAATTTAAAGTCTTTTTTATATATATTATATATAACACTACACGATCACTTCAATCAACTTTTAATTTTCAATAGCGTCCGGTCATTCACACGCTGCGTTTACAAGCAAACAGCTGTTCGGAATCTGAGTGTGACCAAACACCAAAACATTTATTCACCACTTGCACGCAGACGCTCAATTCCGCGTTTACTTTGCTCAAATTTGCGTTTCAAAAAGTTCAAGTCAATTGAAATCGAACAAAAGTAAGAAAATTAATATATTAAAACTGATAAAGTGGGTAATATTCTCTGAGTTCTCGAACTCAGAACTCCGAATTCACACAACAAATTTAAGAAATACATTTCTAGATTAACCGCACATAACCACGCTGGAGCATGAACATCTGGTTTCGAGTCATCAAAAAGCAACCCAAGTAGGACTATTCACTCAGAGAACTATCCGAAATGCCATGTATATATAATATTTTATTATATTGCCTGTATATGTAGCCGACATGGTGTGATGGTAATCAATTCAGACCTTTTTCCAAATTCAAAAATAAATAAATAAACAATATCATTTTTATAAATCAACATCATGTCGAAAGGAAAGGGACCTCTCTCATTACTATATAATGGTATAATCAATGCCGTTGATAAAGTCGTACCGACAGGCGCGCGCCCACTTTGGGAATCACCGGCAGGTGCGTGCACTGATTATTACATATATTTAATTTCTTATTTAATGTCTGTCATATAGGTCCAAAAACCGTGTTCTTCTGGGCACCTCTAGGCAAGTGGGTGAGTTAGACGATGATTGATCGATTTATTTAATTAAGAGATATACATATATGTTCTGTTTTTCGATTAAGGCTCTAGTGCTTGCTGGAATCGGAGATCTTATAAGACGACCGCCCCAAAATGTATCCCTCAATCAGTCGGGCTCGCTCGCGCTCACCGGACTAATTTGGTCCCGTTATTCCATGGTGATCATACCCAAAAACTACAGCCTGTTGTCAGTAAATGTTGTGGTATTTTTAATACAGAGCTTTTTAATTGCAAAACATTTAAAATGGCGAAGCGAAAATGCAAAAAATGTTGTCTTCTACCATCCGCACAATTTTATATCACTTGGTGACGACTGGTGGTAGCCATGGAAGATCAAGGCGTTCTTAATGAATATGACCCTGAAAGTGAAGATAAAACATTTTTATATATACATATATACTTGAGTTGTTGATTTATTTTTTCCTTTTGTTTTGTTGTATTGAATCTGGTTCAGAGGATATTTCGCCAAACTAGGTGGGGTCCTCAGGCTTTAGCGTGGACAAACGTTAAAGATGGCGTTTTTTTAAAAAAAGGCTGCATCGTCATACAAAAAAAAAAAAAGTATCAAAACTCAAGCTTATCACGTCTGCTATGAATTATGTAATTCATTCTACAAATACAATCGGTAGGACGGAGTTTTTACAACTCGAAACTATTTTTCCAAAATTTAAAAATAAATAGAAACATTATATTGGCATCATGTCGAAAGGAAAAGGACCTCTTTCTAAATTATACAACCTGATAATCCATTCTGTTGATAACGTTGTGCCCCAAGTGGCAAGGCCCTTATGGGAAGCTCCGGCAGGTGCGAACTGCCAAGAGTTTCGCTAAACAAACACTAATTTAAAGCCTTTACCCTTCAGGTCCGAAAACAGTTTTCTTCTGGGGGCCTTTCGGTAAATGGGTAAGTTTGAAGAACTCTACCAATGTCAATGTTCAATTTTGATAGGCCAATTCCGTCTGAAGCTCCTCGTTCTTGCTGGAATCGGAGATATCCTGGAGCGACCGCCGCAGAATGTATCCCTCAACCAGTCGAGCGTGTTGGCAGCAACTGGCTTGGTCTGGTCCCGATACTCCGTGGTCATCATTCCCAAAAATTACAGTCTACTCTCTGTGAATTTAGTTGTATTTTTAACTCAGGCATATTTAATTGGCAAGCATCTGAAATGGCGTTACGCGAATTCAAAAAACACGGCGTAGCACTACGCACACATTTTTTTTTTTTAATTTCTCCATTGCAGTAAAGATGATCTGAAAAGAAATCTATTCTCTTGTTGCTTTTTTTTTGCGTGCCGCTCGGAAGCTTTACAACTTTTTATTCTTTTTCTTACGCATTTTGCAATCATCTTGGTTCAAACTCTTAAGTAATAGTATATCTGTATATATCGTATTCATAAGTAAGGTATTGTACGCCCACTTTAGTTGTTGTTTGTGGGCGTAGGCTTTGGGCATGTGACTTAAAATAGTTTGAAATTAAAACTTAAACTGAACTAAAATCGAGAAAATTCGCTTATAGTATATACAAAAATGTTATCGGCTTGGGTGCTGGCATCGCTGAGTTCTGGTTCTGTTTGGCCAACGGCGTTGCGCACAAGCCTCGCTCTGATTGGTCGTCCTGGCGTCTTGCGTCCTGCAAAGGGGTGGGGACGCCAATGCGCTGCCTGCAAAGGAGGCTTCGTTCGTGCAATTGTCTTGCCGCCAACTCGCTCGAGCCGGGCTGAAACGAGCACCGCATTGCAGTTGGCAAACAGCCTGTGCAAGTCACGAAGCACACACACACACACAGACACACACACACTAGGGCGCACACAACTGCAAATAGTTTTTGCTGTGCCAACAGGCGTATGCGTGATTTATTATCAACGGTTTTTCCCATGCGCGTGTGAGCGCAGCAATCAAAGTCTATTTGCCTGTGTATGTGTGGCCTTGTATATGTGTGTCGCTGTGCGTCTGTGTGTGCGTGTGTGTGTGTGCTTTGAACGTTTGCCAAGTGCATTACGCTGCCTGCTGCCGACTTGAACTTTTAGCCGCTGCGCTGCCATTGGTTGGTCAGGCCTAGGACCAGCTGCAGCGGCCGTGGCTGCCAATTGGCCAACGAGGCTCCTTTAACGCATCGCTGCAAAGAGAGAAAGAGAAAGAGAAGCAGAAAGGGTGAATATGAGTGAGAGTAAGAAGGATGTGCATAAACATGCTTGTAGTCACACTTTGGCTCCACGAGAGCAAAAATAAGTAAACCAAATAGATTTCATATGATAGAAGAATTTCATAGGTTATTGTTATGTAATGAAAACTTTCTAGAAACAAAAACATCCTCTTCATAAAAAAAGAACGAGCGAGTTTGAGTGCAAAATGGAGTATGCTCTATTTAACAGGAATATTTCTTTCTACATCAATGAATTCTAAAACGTAAATTTTTGTTCTGCTCAGTTTCAATTTTTTGTTCCTTTGCTAGTGTTATTGTACTTTATTGTTTTAAAGTTTTCAAGTTAGATATATGTTTAACATTCATTCAATTTTACAAGTCTTTAAGATTGTAACGCTTGGATGGACACACCCTAGCCAAAAGATATGGCTGCAACGAATACGTCATGTCTTTTGGACTTCTCAGCCCTCATCTGACTTGGTAAGGGAAAAATAATGGGCGGGGGAGGGGAGGGGGGGGGGCTCTTAGAACACAACGCAACGATGGGAATGGGCGCTTGCCAAGATGGTAGGTTGCCAAAATCTCGAGAGATTTTCTCACGCTCGCTTCCAAAGAATCTCAGTGGCAATGAACTTTTCTCGCTCTCAAGTTCTGTTGTTGCGTAATGCTGCTGCGTGCTGAGGAATCTTGGCAGCCGTCCTGGGATTTCCCCAAGCACACACACACACACATGCAGTCTCACACGCACACTAACTGCTTCTACACTGTAATTAAAGCGCCACCTGCCGCGTTGGCGCGTAAACAAATTTGGACTGCATAATTTATGATCATGGAGTTTTGCCAATAAGTTTCTGGATGAGTAGACAAACTGTCTGCCAAGAAAAAATTCTGGGCCGTCGATCTTGCCCCTTCCCCCCCCTCTCTCTTCATCTTGCTGCTGTTCAGCTCGGTTAGTTAACTGAGGTCAGGGCTGCTGACGCCATTGGCCCCGGAACTGTGCTATTGAACAGCTGCCAATTGTGACCACTAGATATTTATCCATTCCAGGCAATTCCTCAACACACCCACCACCTACCACCACCAAGCATCTACCATCTTCGCACAGAGCGCAAGTGTTAATTATGTCTTGATTTATTGACTCTCGAAAAGGGCAACAATTGCCCCTAATTGCCAATTGAACATCTGCTCAGTTGTTTGCCACTTAATTTACGACTTTAGTCAGGTTTCTAATAGATTATTATTGAGTATAGTGGGTAACTAAAATCTAAAAGACTGCCGCCTGTACATTATGCATCTCTTCTGTGTGCGAGTCAAAGTGCT